GGAATGACTGCTATGACTTGGGAGATAATTACGATTGGCACATGTAAAATGCACAAAACAAGGAAAAGTTAAAGATAATTGGGTAATAACCTATCTTTGATTGAGGAGTTCTTAATCTATGATATCCTATCACTTGGCTATAGGGAATAGACTGGTGTTTGGTTTGTGTCCTTGGTTGAAACAACTATATTGCACCCTGTTTTGGGCCTTTGGCTATGTAAAAACTTTTTCTTTCTAATTTTAATATTTATGATTCATTTCATTCCATATCCTGATTTAGGACTGAAACGTTCTCTTTGCAGGTCAGATAACATTCACAATATTTTGAATCAGGTTTCTCTATTTGCTGAAGATATGAAAGCGCTTTTGGTGGGGCAGTTCTGCAATGCGGCGCCTTAGTATATAGTTAAAATAAGGCGTTACCGATTTTGTTATTATTTTAAATAACAAAATTGGTAAAAAATGATCGAAAACATCATTATTTTGACCGGTTATAATTACCTATATAGGTGAACGCGGTAATGCCGAAAACATCATTATTTTGACCAGATTTTTTCTACCGTGTTTATCTATATAGATAATTATAACCAGTCAAAATAATGATGTTTTCGGTCATTTTTTACCGATTTTATTATTTAAAATAATAACAAAACCGGTAACGTCTTATTTTAACCGTATACTAAGGCGCCGCACGTGAGCGTTTCTCCTTTTGGTGGGCAAAGTTTATGTCATAAAATATTTTTAGGTATTTTCTCTACACTCTTCTCGTCCAATTCAGAAAATGCTCTGAGAGAAACAAATGTCAATAAAATGCTACATAAGTTTTTATTTCTATTTTTTTCTTCTCAGAATTGCATATCAAATTTTCTTACATTTTGTCTGGCAGGTTACATTGCATAAACTGTCAGTGGAGCATACTCATTGGGGGCCGAAGGCTGGTTCTAATATTTATCATATGGTACAATTTCTGACAAATTACTTGCATTTTGTTTTCTATCAGAAACTTTTCCTTTTAGCATTTTCTTTCTAACACCATAAAGAATCACATGATTGCTTCTTGTTTTGGTGTTGTACTTTGCAGAAGAATGCAGATATGGTGTTTGGAGGGATTACGATTGCTTGTGGGATTTTAGGAACATTATCCGGTGGCTTTATACTAGATCGCATGAGTGCTACTATATCTAATGCTTTTTATTGTGAGTTTTGTTTCTCTTTGATGATGTTTTATGTGATTATTTTTTCTAACATGCTTATTGGGAACAAAAAAACATTCCATTTGGTTAGGACAAAATAAGTTGATAAAAAGTGTAAGTTTCTTAGAGAAATTAAACTAAAAGTGGTATTCACTGTTATTTATCCTAATGCAGCCTCTGAGTCAATAAACAACGGATGGATATAGGAATCTGTTAAACTACCTTCCACCCTATTTCTTTCTTTAAATCCAAACAGCTGAAGAAAAGTTACAACCAGATAATAAAAGAAAAAATGATGCACTTAACGGGAAAACAAAGATAAACAGATGTTTTGTGATTTCCATATATTGAATACTTTACTCTTTTTCCAGTTGAAACTACCAATTAGCTATGAATTTTAGTCTGAAGTTATCTTCTATGACAGCTTCTTTCAGGGGCTACGTTTCTGGGTGCAATATTCTGCTTTATTGCTTTTTGTCTCTGGAGCTTGTATGGTTTCATAGTTCTTTTTGCAGTGGATGAATTACTTGTTTTTGCGACACAGGTAAAATAGAAAAAGAGAGTGCTAGATTTATGATCTTGTAATTTACCCCCCAAAATTATTATGTACTTGTATTTTATAGATGTGTAGGAACTCTCTCCTTTTTTCAATTATATTCATATGGTAAAAGGTACAGAGGAAGATTTAATTTGAAGTTATGCCATGTGTTTTATCAACTTTCTTCACATAAACTGTAGCATGTTATTTTGTATAAATTAAACCATATTTTTCATTTGATAATGGAAAATGCGTTTCTGGTTCACATCTGACTTTGTAGTGAATACATAGGCTCGAGTGATATTTTACGATTTTAGACTAATATTATGTTATACTATTTTAATAGTGTTACATATTTCATCATATATTGATTTGCAGGCTCCAGTCAATTATGTAAGTCTCCATTGTGTCAAACCAAGTTTGCGACCATTATCTATGGCTATCTCTACTGTTTCAATTCACATATTTGGCGATGTGCCTTCCTCACCACTTGTTGGGGTCCTTCAGGTGTGTTTTTTTTTTCTGGTAGATTTTTTTCATTGAATGCTGTTTCATGGTTTCCTTTTGTTCTGAAAAAAAATTCCTGCCAATTTTGAACACAATATTCCAAAATCCTTCAGCTTTTAAAGTGTTCTTAATTGTGGACACAAAATTTTCAATTGATTACAATGGATGCATTCGTTTCATTACCTAGCTTCTATCTCTAATCCAGCATGTTATGGAATCATTTCTTTCAATTTCAAACGAGTCTCTTATGGATTATGAAATGCCTTATAAACCATAACATATCTATTTTGTCATTTAATCTTTTTAAAGCAGCACTTGTGACTGGTTATGCTTTGGAGCAGGATAACATCAACAACTGGAGGGAAAGTGCACTTATTCTGACTTCTATTCTCTTACTTGCTGCTGGAATGTAGTTTATAGGTGAGTAATTATTGTAAGTTGTTGATAATATTTCCGGAAAAAAATATCTAATATATTCTTTTCTTTTTCAATTAGTGAAAGCCTCCTTTAAGCCCCCAACAGTGCATCGATCGAGTATTCGAATTAGTCAAATGTTTCCGTTTGTTACTGGATTAAGAGTTATATGATCTGTGTACCATAGAGTTAAAGCATGAAGCAACTATATTTCATGTACTGAATCCTGATGTAGCATGATGATAGCCTGATCAAAATCCGGAACTTCCGACAGTGTGAGTTTATCATGGGTGTTCTTTGGCAGGTGTTACCGTACACAGGGTCGATAAATATGTGAAAGTGAAAGTGAAGTCTCAAGGATCGCAACAGACAGTCAAATGCCACTGCTTAATGGAAATGGGGATGAAAGTTGTTGCGAAACATAAGCTCAGACCTCGATGCTGAAAAGAAATTGTAAGCTACCAAATGCAAAAGAAAAAAAATGTTTCCTTTTTCCTAGTAGAAGTTTGCGACTTTATTTAGTATAGTTTTGTTGATGCAGTCTCAGGCGGCAAAAGGGCAGAAATTTGGTGGCATTCTTTCAACCTTCGCTCACCAATGTTGGGATTGTTTGTAAAGAATGATGTGAAGATAAGTTTGCAACATAAATGTTTTAATTTCATAAACACTTCGTTATTTAGACCGGGTCATTCAGGGCCGGAACTACATTGGAGGTGGGAGAGGCAATTACCCATCCCCCAAACTTGGATGGTTTAATTGGTTTTAGGTCACTAAAACTTTTAAAATCATTACAATTAAGTCATTGCCTTTTCTAAATTTATAGGTTTAATTATATTTTAGGACCCTTATAGTTTTAAAAATGAAACTTCGACTTCTAGTTTTTTTGGTTTTATTACTCTTTAAGATCCTTGAATTTTAAAATTAGTGGAATTAAATCATAACTCCTTTAATTTTTATGGTTTATTCAATTTTAGAGATCTTATTTATTTCAAAGTTAAATAATTTATCTCTTCGTAGTTCAACCACGGTTCCATCTATGGGGTCATTAGATGTGTTATTATTATCATTCCGCAATTCCCTTAAATCTTGACTTTTTTTATTATATAATAAAATAAAATGAATAATTTAATGATTGAAATTTGAAGCACGATGAAAGTACGGAAGAGGTTGGTGTATTAAACAAGGATTATATAATTAGTTTACTTAAATAAACATTTCATATAAAGACAAAATCCTACGTGGAAATCTTAAGTTAAATGAAGATTTTTTAAATTAATATAGCGATTTCCATATTAAACTTGTACCGAATACATTATTTGGTAGATTAGTAGTGTCAACTTTTTATTTTTTACAATCCATCTTAATCCATCGTTGTCTGTCTTATTTATTGGAAGTAATAATTAAAATTTAAAAGCAGTTATAAAAAAACTAAAAATATATTCTATCACAACCGTAAATATTTAAATAAGGGTGAAATGATAATATAAGGAAAAGTATGAAATCTAGAAATCTAAAGCCAAGACTCTCGAAACAACATTGGAATTTATCAAGAAATAACTAATAAATTATTATCTTCAAAATTACTTGCTAATTAACATAAAATATTTCTGTATATTTTTTTATACAGAAAAGGAAAAGGTGGCAACATAAATATAAGAAAAAAAATATGAATATTGAAACTCAAATCTCCAACAAAAAATTAAAAAGATCCATAGAAGTAGATCAAATTAGAAAAGCTAAACAACATACTATCAAACCCTTAAATAAAAATAAATTTAAATTTAAAAGGTACTGATAAATTAAAATTTAATTAATAAACTTCATATAATATTTAAAATATTTATTGGTACAACTCGTCTAATGAATTATGAAACCCCACGTAGAAGATGGAAAGAAGATGACGCGATGAAATAATAATGTTTCGGTACATTTTGATGATCGGATACTTTTATTATTAAATTTATACATGAGAGGAAGGCAAAGAAACAGAGCGTTCAGATGAACAGTGAAAGAAGATATAAAAGACGGAAGCATCTTTCACACTTGTTTTATTAAATATAGGTATAGATTTATTGACTATTGATTTCCCCAGGCGATTTGGAAGCGAATAATCTGAACGCTGCCTAAGTTAAAGCTTTCATTTTCAACTCCTAACTCAAACTAACAGACTTTATAAGGACAGAGTCTCTCCAGGTATAGATTGATAGATTGTTTGTTTTAGCTTCTGGGTTTTTCTTGGATTCTTTCTTCTTTGTAAGATGTTCTTTCTTTTCTCTCTGAAGCAAAAATGAATATTATGTTTGGATTTTCTTATGATGTTTAATCTTTAATCCAGGTTGACCTTTTTAATGGAAATTTCTTCAGGCAAATGGTTATCTGAACTGGTACGTTTACAGATTGTTCCCACAATATCATCTGGAAAAGAAAGATAGAAATTGTTTTTCTTACATGAAAGTTGATTTGCAGGAAATGGAAGATCCCACGCTATTCCCACACCAATACCAGATGATGAACCCTATTGACTATTCATTCCATGATATAAATTTCAACTCTCTCTCTTCTGAAAACTATGCATGCAATCCATGTATCGATGGTGATTCATTCGTTGAAGCTTCTCATGAGATTGACGACTTTAAAAGGCCAATGAAACAACTCAAAGCCAACAGTTGGAACTCTAGCATTACAGAAAATCACATCCCACCACAACCAAAGGCGGCATCGTCGTCGTCGTCTTCCCATATAATCTCCTTCAGCAACTCGAATTCATCGCCTGCGACATTCTATGACGTGAAACCCAAAACTGAGGTGGGTAATTATTGGGATGGAAATATGGGATTCAGGGAGCAGTATTGTTCAAATAAATCTGGGCAGGTTTCGAGGTCAAGGAGTCCGGTACATGCTCAAGATCATGTAATTGCAGAACGAAAACGCCGTGAAAAGCTTAGCCAGAGTTTCATTTCTCTTTCAGCACTTATTCCTGGCCTCAAAAAGGTATATTATATACCATTTCTATAATCAAAGATTTCTGTTTTCAAATTTGATAAACATGTTTCGACGATGTTTTTTATGCAGACAGACAAGGATTCAGTTCTTGGAGACGCTATCAAGTACTTGAAACAACTTCAAGATCGAGTTAATGTGCTTGAGAAACAAGTTGCTAACAAAACAACGGAATCAGTGATCTTTGTAAGGAAAACCCAGATTTATGCAGATGATGAGACGATATCTTCGTCCAATGAGAATTCCGATGGCCGATCTAACGATGCCTTCCCTGAAATCGAAGCGAGAGTTTCCGATAAGGACGTGCTGATTAGGATTCAATGCAAGAACAACAAAGGGTGCATAACAAACATAATAAACGAGGTCGAAAAGCTTCATCTCTTTGTACTCAATACCAGTGTCTTGCCCTTTGGACAAGCCACTCATGACATAACCATTGCTGCACAGGTAATTTTATTTTGCTCATAACAATGATAAGTATTATTTCCTAAAAAATAATTATGTTCCTATACTTGCGGATATTGTTACAATGTCACGGTGACTTTGAAAAACAGTACGATATGATCATTACACTACGTTCCAGTCACAATTTAATACTATGTTCACAACCCTCAGTGAATTGAGTCTTAATTCCATGGTTATTTTTGCAGATGGAAGCAGAGTTTTCAATGACAGTGAAGGATCTTGTGAAAAGCCTTCGAGTAGCTTTGCTCAAGTTCATCAAGTGATGAAATTGCAACACTATGTTCACATTAAGAGAAGAAATTTGGAAGAGTAACTCAATTTTACTACGTAAAATATTTCAAAATTGGAGGTTAAAACTTATTTAGAGAGCTTGAAAGAGTAACTCAATTTTGATATATGTTAAGCATGTCTAACGTATCTAAATAAATTTTTTATATTCAAATTCTATTGCTTTTCTTCACTGTTTTTTTTAGAAAGAATGATATTATTTTTTATTTTAATACATGCTTAAATGAAGGGTTTAAAAATCCAATCAAAATAAGACCTCTAATCAATATGATTCAATATCACCTACAATTTCACTTTATATATATACACTACAATATGCTCTCGTTATGTTCTATAAAATCAATTTAAATTTATAAATATCCGAATTATGTTGATTTATGTAATAAATTTATGAACTTAATTTTTGAATAAATATATTTTATTTATTTTTATCATAGTATGATAATCAAGTTTTGCCACAACTGACAATAACAATATTGTTTTTTTTTCCAACTCACGAAAAATCCATAAGTAAAATAGTCATGAAATTTTTAGCTTTAACATGTTCATTATCGAATCAAAATTAAGTAAATTTAAATAGCTTATGGTAGCTTCATTGTCATAAGTTTATATGTGAAATTCTTGTATAAAAAATAAAACTCAAACACGAATAAAATTATATTATCTCAATTAAATATGTTTAACTAATTTACATTATGAATTAAATATGTAGATGATATTTTAAAAAAAATAAAATTTGAAATATCCTAAATACAATATTCATACAAATAAAGAATTATTTAAAGAGGTGTGATACTATTTAAATAAAAGAAAAAGAAAATTCATAGTGTTAAGGCACTTTTGTCTAAAACAATATGATTTAACAAATACTTAAGGAATGAGCAGGAATAAGATTCTCGAAAACTTAATAAAAAAATGCTATTGTTCAAAATATTATTTTTCTCTTATGAAAATATGGTAAGTCAAACGTGTATATGTGTGGGAGTTGGCTAGGATTGCTAGTTTACTTAGCTAATTAGTTACTTTGTTATTGATGTAAATTAAATATGAGGTGTGAAATAATATTCGAGGCATTATTTTACAATTGCAGTACAATTTACTTTCTTTTACAATATGTGATTTCTGAAGGAAAAAGAATATTATCTCTGATTTTTACGTGAATCAAACATATCATAAAATTTATTTGTGGGGTGAAATGGTTTTTAAGAACCCTAATTATAACTTTGAGTACAAGACTAGACAGCTCGGTAATCAATTAACCAGCATTGTAGGCCACATTTAGTAATTAATGGATTAAAGAGGTAGATGAAACTAACCAAACCTGAAACCGACCTAGGAGACAGCATTCGGAAAGGCCTCGCGTCCCAAAACATTGCAATGAAAAGGAAAGTTTGGCGTTTTTGTTCGAAAACTTCTAGGATCCTTCGCAACAGAAAACAGTATAGTCAAAGTCTGGAAAGAACGTGTAGCAAGCAAAACATGTATAATCGCCACGACTTTTGGCCCAAAATCATTGTCGGTGGTGCAATTATTGTGTACATATGAGCCGAAGAATAGTTGAGGAATAAATGCTACTATAATTAAACAATGCACTAATTCTATATTCCCTTTCAACCCTTTTTCACACTCCCATACCACAATGCTTTTCTGTGTCCAATAAATCTGGAGTTTCTCCACCTAAACGTAAGCTGCGCATTTATTCCACTCACTATGTTTTCGATAATTGTATTCAAGTTTTAAATTTCATGCATTGTATTAACATAATAATATATAATAATTATATTAATTGATTTCCGTAATTAAACGAAGTATTGATTTTTTTTAGGTTTCAGATTTAAGTAGATGTATCCGTAATAAATATAGATTTTTAAAGATAAAGTACATAAATGATTCTCGAATATAGTATATTATTTTGTTGAGTCCACTGATTATTAAAATTTACAAAATGATCTTTCGATTATAAGATGATATTTTGTTCGGTCTTCTGACTATTAAAAATTACAAAATGATAAACCGACCATTCATATTTCCAAAATCGCCCTTTTCTATTAAAAAAATGGCATTTGTCTGAGCAAAGACATTAACATGTTAACTAAGATATGATAAAATTATATTTTAATGATGTATACTGGCACTGTCGTTTCTTTCAAGCATTGGCTCGATAATATAATGTTTCAAGCACAAGCTCGACGACATAATGTAAACGGATATTCGGTCCACAAAATATAGCTAAAACAATGATGGGATCGGACTTTACCGTATCACATTCAACAAGTTACTGCCTATCTCAAATGGCTGCCAATTTTTTAACCAAAAAGAACGAGTTTTGAACATATGAATAATGAAATGACCATTTATAACTTTTAATATTTGGAGGACTCGACAAAACAACACCTTATAGTCAAGAGATCATTTTGTAACTTTTAATAATCAAGTGACTCAACAAATCAACACCCTATCGTCGAGGAACTATTTGTATACTTTATCCTATTTTTTGACATAAAAATTTAATGAGCAGTAATTTTAGTTTATAAAATCAAATGATATTTTGAAATTTATTGTTATTATAATAAAATACTGATTCTATATAATATATATATATATATATATATATATATAAAAGATATAATAGTAGACTTAGATTAACGAGAAACAATTAAAGCCTACTAATTTTCTTTGTAAAATCTTATTTTTATTATACAACTAGTAGTTTTTATTTAGAAAATGGACTGAATTTTAACAAAAAAACTATTAGCCTGCCCGTGATTATGGAAAAGGAAATAAAAACAATAGAAAGATGCAGATGATCTGAATAGGGGCATCGTACAATAAAAAGTAAATAAAGCTTTTGGCGTTTTTCTTTTGGGGGGAGTTGGTTGTTGCTAATGCCTAAATTTTCAAAAATTGCGATTTCTTTTTACTTTTTTTTGCTCAATTTTTTCTAATCATATCGATGTGTAATAATTCATGCCCTACATTTTCAATGATTTTCTACGGGTGTACCTTTATTTCTAAATCACTTTATTACCAAGAATGAGTTAAAAAAAATTATCTTACATATAATATTTTGTGTCTCTATACTGATAGTGGGGTCCTTTTAGACTTTAATAAGTACGTTTATGGGATTATCATAAAGTTATAACAATTTCAACAGGGGATTAGTATAATTAGTAAAGACATTAGCTTTATTCCTTCCAGAAGAAAATATCTATAAAAGTTTTAGGAAATGGCTAAATAACCGTTATACATATTACGGATGGGTGAATTATTTAAAATATATGGATGCTCGTAGTAAAACGGCATACTTGTGTTAAATACTTGCTTTGTTTTATTCGTTATAAATTTTAAATTTATTTTTTGTAATACTCTATGTATCTTGTTTATATTTTTATTATAATATATATGTGATATTTACTTTTTATATATATTATATTTTATATATACCAATAATATACATCAAAATTATGTTTATAAATTTTATGATATGTCATATCTAAAGATTAACGTAACAAAATGCAAGCTATTTGCGTGTGGCATTTTAGGTTGTGAGTTGCGTCGTATTAAGGAGATTGTAGGATTTAAGATGTTACCGGTTCATTACCTTGACATCCCACTGGTGACTCGGAAACTTTCCGAAAAAGAATGTCAAAGTTTAGTGACTTCCATTGGGGCTAAGTCGGGGCATTGGGAGAATATGAAGTTAAGCTATGCGAGGAGGCTGCAATTGATTTCATATGTTTTGTTCAGTATTACGAACTTTTGGTATAGACAATTTGCTTACCCCAAGCGGTGGCGAAGAGGATTGAACAATTATGCATGAGGTTCTTTTGGAAGGGTGCGGATACCCCTGCAGCCGGTGCAAAGGTGAGTTGGAGCAGAGTTTGTTCTCTCAAAGCTGAGGACGGCCTTAGGCTCAAAGAACTGACATGTTGAAATAAAGCATGTTTCATTCACCTATTAAGGAAACTTCTAGCAAATAAGGGGTCGTCGTGGGTGGCTTCGGTTAGAGCTTAAGTTGTTAAAGGAATGAACATTTGGAAGTTTGAACCGCAAGGACTGCCTTAGTTGGAGCTTGAGGAAAATTTTCTCGCTTCGTGGGGCTATAATGGAGATAAGGAGGACTACTGAGATTGGTTGGCATCGGTTAAAAGCAAGGAAAATCTGGTATGAGATCATAACAAAAAGAGACTAAGTTCCATGGCAAAGGGCAGTATGGTTTCCATTGCATGAGCCGCATCATGCTATTATTTCATGGCTGGTTGCTCTTGATCAGTTGGCAACCAAGGACAGGCTATTGCGAATGGATGTGGTCGTTGATGGCGCGAGTGTGTTATGTGGTGCTGAGCTGGAATCTACAAGTCATCTCTTCTTCGGCTGCAGCTTGGAAGATGGCTCTCGCTCAGAGTGGTATATGGCGGAGAGTGCATTGTTGGGAGAGGGAGATTAATTGGGTAAATTTGCCCTCGCTCTTCTTCTCAGGTTAACTTGGAACGCTTGCATTCATTTCATATGGAAGGAACGAAATAGACGTTATTTTAGTAGGTTGGGTGTTAGATCGATTGATGAGCTTTTTGGGTTGATTCATGAGGTTGTATAGGCGAACTTTTTAAAAACTAATACAGGAAACCTTGATCTCCAAATTTGTATAGAGTGAGGATAGGTGATTGATTTATCTATGCAGAGATTGTTTGTATAAACTGTTTTGTTGTTTTGCTTTTGGATATAATTAATACACATTTTATTTTTAAAACAAATTATGTTTATGAATAAAGTATAATATTTTGCATTATCAGAATAATAAAAAATACTAGTAAAAGAAGTAAGATAGAACTGTGTGGAAGGATGTAAATATAATCGATATCCATGGAGTGGATGCTTTTAACATTAATTTTACAAATGAAATGTGAATGTGAATAAATTTACGTCATCGCTAGTTTCATTGGCATCCCTAGATAAATTTATTTTGAAAATAAAATTCTTGGTCCATCCTTTGAAGGTAAAGGACATGCCTCATGTA